TTTTACATTTCTTGTTGATCCCTTATTATTTCTAGTTGCTCCCTTTTCATATCCTCATAGGTCTCATTTATTTTATCGGCCTTTTTTAGGATATTGTTGAATAACCTAATAACTGTAGTTTTGTACTCAATGTCCAATCTTTTCTTTTCCTCCATCTCCTTCCTTTGTGTCCTTCTTCTTGTCTGCATTTTAGTTGTTTCCCTGATTTGATGGAATAGCTTTGTGTGCTAGGTGTTCTGGTAGAGCCCAGTAGCACAGCCTTCCCAGTTCCCTGGGGTGGACAGTCTTGGTGTAGCCCTTTGTGGGCTGTGTGTTCAGTCTTGTTGTTAAGCCTTGCTTATTGTTGGTATCACTGGGAAGCATTGATCTCCAAGCCAACTGGCCGTGAGGATCAGCAGTGTCTCAGCTAGGAGGATTTCTGTACTCTGCTTGAATAGGGCGGGGTCTCGGGGTGGCACAGACAATCTTTGGTTCCCTGTCAGTCTCACCTTAGAAAAGTCCTGTTCGTGGAGAGTTTTGGAAGATTGGTTGCAGGTGCGCGCGCACCTCTTTGGTAAAGGCGCAGACAAGCTTTGGATTCCTGCAAGTCCCTCCTTAGAGAAAGCCAGCCTCTGGGAGAGCTTCTGTGCTCAGCCACAGGTAGGGCGGAGTCTCGGGTTGGTGCAGACAAACTTTGTTTTCCCTTCGACTCCTCCCCAAGTCCCGCAGTAATGGCCTCTGGCTTCACACACCTCCAAGAGATCTCTGCCCACTGCCTGACAGTCTGACCTCTCCCTGTCTGGGGCCATTTATCAGAGCAATAGGCTGATTCTGTTTTCCTCTCGGACAAGAAAGCCAGCCGTGTTAGCTGTTCGCCCTCTCCGCGCCAGGAGTAAGCCAGTAGCGAACTCAGCCCGGCCCGCCCTCTCTGCTTGCAGGGAGTAAGCCAGCAGCAGTCTCGGTCCGGCCCTTCCTCTCCGCACCAGGATTAAGCCAGCGCCTTTTCGCACACACAGTTCTCCGTACCTTCACAGTTCCTGAGGTTCAGCGTGCCTTCTCTCTCCTTCCCAGATGGCAGAGCCTCCTCTCAGCCAGCCGTCTGGCACTTCAGGGCAATGCCTCCCCTGTTTTTCAGTTCTAAATTCAAATTTGTTGTGGTAGGCTGCATTCGGGTGTCTACCCTATGCCGCCATCTTGGTTTCTAGCTTTTTATTTTGATTTAGTCCCATTTGTTTATTTTCTCTTTAGTTTCCATTGTCCTAGGAGCGGTATCTGTGAAGAAATTGCTTCAGTATATGTCTGAGATTTTGCTGCCTCTGGATTCCTCTAGTATTTTTATGGTTTCTCATCTTATGTTTAAGTCCTTTATCCATTTTGAGTTTATTTTTGTGTATGGTGTAAGTTGGTGATCTAGTTGTTTTTTTTGTTTGTTTTGTTTTGTTTTGTTTTGCATGTATCTGTTCAATTTTCCCAAAACCATTTATTGAAGAGACTGTCTTGACTCCATTGTATGTTCATGCCTCCCTTGTCAAATACTAATTGAGCATAGTGGTTTCCGTCCATATCTGGGTTCCCTATTCTATTCCATTGGTCTTTATGTCCTTTCTTGTGCCAGTACCAGACTGCCTTGAGAACAATGGCTTTGTAATACAACTTGAAATCTGGTATTGAGATCCCACCTACTTTGTTCTTTCTCGGGATTGCTGTGGCTATTCGGGGTCTTTTTTATTTCAGATGAATTTTTGGAGAGTTCTTTCTAGGTCTGTGAAATATGCCGTTGATATTTTAATGGGGAGTGCATCGAATCTATAGATTGCTTTGGGTAGTATGGACATTTTAATGTTGATTCTACCAATCCATAAACATGGTATGTTCTTTCATCTGTTCATATTCCTCTATCTATTTTTTCAGTGTCCTGCAGTTTTCTGCGTTTAGGTCTTTTACCTCCATAATTAAGATTATTCCTAGGTATCTTATTTTTTTTTTTTTTTTTTTTTTTTTTTTTTGGTGTGATGGTAACTGGAATTGCTTTTTTTAGTTTCTTTGTAAGTTCACTATTGGTGTATAGAAATACCATAGATTTCTTGGCATTAATTTTGTATCTTGCTACATTGCCGAATTAATTTAAGTCTAATAGTTTTTTTATGGAGTCTTTAGGGTTTTTTATGTACAATATCATGTCATCTGCAAAGAAGGGCAGCTTTACTAATTCTTTTCCAATTTGGATGCCTTTTATTTGTTCTTGTCTAATTGCAATGGCTAATACTTCCAGTACTATGTCGAATAGGTGTGGTGAGAGTGGGCATCCCTGTCTTGTTCCTATTCTTAGAGGAAACGGTTTTATTTTTTGCCCAGTGAGTATGATGTTGGCTGTGGGTTTATCATATATGGCTTTTATTATATTGAGGTATGATCCTTCCATTCCCACCTTGCTGAAAGTGTTTATCAAGAAAAAAGTGTTTTGTTTTGTCAGATGCTTTTTCTGCATCAATTGATAAGACTATGTGATTTTTCTCCCTCAATTTGTTTATGTGATGTATCATGTTTATTGATTTGCGGATATTGTACCATTCTTGCATTCCTGGGATGAATCCTACTTGGTCATGGTGTATGATCTTTCTGATGTGCTGCTGGGGCCAATTTGCTAGAATTTTGTTGAGGATTTTGGCATCTATGTTCATGAGGGATGTTGGACTGTAATTCTCTTTCATTGTGTTCTCTTTCATTCTCTTTTATCTGGTTTTGGTGTTAGGGTGATGCTGGCTTGATAGAATGAACTAGAAAGTGTTCCTTCCTCTTGGATTTTTTTGAATAGTTTGAGGAAGATAGATTTTAGTTCTTCCTTAAATGTTCGGTAAAACTCCCCTGTGAAGCCATCTGGCCCTGGGCTTTTGTTTGCTGGAAGCTTTTTGATGAGTGCTTCAATTTCTTCCATAGAAATTATCAGCCTATTGAGATGTTTAGATTCTTCCTGGTTGAGTTTTGTAAGGTTGTATTTTTCTAGGAATATGTTTATTTCCTCCAGGTTGTCCAGTTTGTTGGAATAGAGTTGTTCATAGTATATTTTAACAATCCTTTGTATTTCTCTGGGGTCTGTTGCTATTTCTCCTCTTTCATTTCTATTTTGTTTATTTGGGTCCTCTCTCTTGCTTCTTGGTGAGCCTGGTTCATCAATCTTGTTTACCCTTTCAAAGAACCAGCTCTTGGTTTTGTTGATCTTTTGTATTGTTTTCTTTTTTTGGTTTCTATGTCGTTTATCTCGGTTCTGATCTTTATTATTTTCTTCCTTCTGCTTACACTGGGCTTTTCTTGTTGCTCTGTTTCTCTGAGTCAGAGCTGGTTGTTGCGGGATGGAACCCAGCAGCAGTGGGGGCTGCCCAGTCAGGGGAACCCTGGCCTGCCGGCCCTCACAGTCTCCTGAAGTCTAGCTGTCCCTCAACTCTCCAAAAAACATTCCCTGTGAGACCACACACTCCCCCTTTGTCCTCTCACTCACACATTATCTTGCAGTCTGCCCTCCCATCAGCAGCCATCTCCCTCTAAACTTTTGGGTATTGGGGTTTGTGACGAAAATAAAAGCCTAGGAGAGAAGCTGATCAATGACTGAACTGTCTCCCTTATGACAGGATATGGACTTTGCGGACGTGGCCATCGCCTTCTCCCAGGATGAGTGGGGGCTCCTTGGTGAGGCTCAGAGACTTCTGTACTGCAGTGTGATGCTGGAAGTTTTTGCACTGGTCTCATCTGTAGGTAAGGGCTTCACATTTTCCCAGTGTCCTGAGGTGATGCCCTCTCTTCCTTTATTCTCAAAGCATAGTTTTCTCTCTTCCACAGCTAGACCATGGGCTCTTCCATTTTATCCCATCATCCTGACAAATGTGCTATAACTGAGAGTGCTGAGTGTGTGGAGAGTCCAGAACAAAGGATTCCATGAATATCCCTCGAACCCATAGCCTCACATAGGACAGGAAGTGTCCGGGCGTTAGGATTACTGCAAACAGCTTAATGGGCCCAGCTTGCAGTTCTCTCTCTGGGAGGGTGTCTATGTCCACATCCATGGCTTCCATTTCTGCACCATTCCTCCAGCTATAGGCTCTTTGTGACTGACTGTGTCAGGTTATGATCTTTACTTGCATGAACTATGGGCAGTTCTTGAAAGACCTTCTTCCATTGTTGGTAATATTCTGTTCTCTGACTACTATTGCATGCTGTCTTGCTCTGGGCCAGTGCTGCCTACTCACCACTGTTGTCTGTCCATAAAACGCTCAATATTAGTGTTTTATGTGCTTGTATATTAGAAGGTACAAGGAGAGCCCTGTTTTTTTCACAGGTTGAACATACAAGGTTGATCTAAAGGGTTGCCTGGCTCTCCTGAGTTCCAATTTGTGGGAACTATGACATAAAGGTGGTGTTTAGATCATACCGGGAACCTGCTCATGTCCAACAGAGTTTAGGATGAGGTGCCACTGGCAACAGCTCATTTCTACCATTTGATTCCCATGCTTGACACTTCCCTGACTTATCTTTTAAACTGTGCCTTCCTGCTTTCTGGCTACCTTCATCATTCTGTCCCTTTTCCATCACCTGTTCCTCTGAACTGCTCTATCACAGTATTCTCAAATATTGACCTGTGTTATGAGGTACACAGACGCGCTTCACTAGACCTCGACACAAACTTTTCGTTTCTTGAATTTTACTTGAAATAAGATGCAAGCAAGCTTCTGCACAGTTGGCCCATGTCACCAGCAGACAAGCCCTGTTATACACTGAGCAGACGATCCAGCTTCTGTTCCATGTGGGGCTTGCCATGTTTGTTTCATATTTTTTTGGACATTTTATTGGTATGGTAATCTTCAGTGACTCAGAGCATCATGGCAGTATCGTATCAATATTTCCTTTAGATAGGTTACCCTCATGTTTTTGCATGGAACCAACATGTTATGTGTGACACACTTTTGTAATGACACTTCTCCCTGTCATCACAGCCGACATTCATTTCATCACCATTTTTTTTGTTTCAGGTTGTTGGCATAAAACGGATGATGAGGAGGCCTGTTTTGAGCAGAGTGTATCTGTACAAGGGGAGTCTCGGGTCAGGGCTTATAAGACAGCTCCAGCAACCCAGAGGACCCATCTCTGTGGAAGATGTTTCTCTGTGTTTAAAGATATTCTTCACCTGACTGAGTCACAAGCAGTGGACTTTCAGCAGAAATGCTTCTTCAGTGACGCATGTGTGAGAGACTTCTGTTTCAGTGCAAAGCCTCACCAGCCACAGAGGGAAGCCAGTGGAGAGAAGCCCTGGACAGAAGCTGTGGACAGGGCCTCGTTTGTGACCAACTTAAGCTTCTTCTTATCAGGGCTGCCTTCAACCAGTAGGGGGGTTGGGGAAGACTTCCCAGCCATCTCAGACCTTCTCCAGCACCAGGCCCCTCTCAACACTGAGGAACCACACAGTCATAGTGAGATTTCAGAGGAATTTCCTGATAGAAAAAGGCATCATCAATGGGATGAATGTGAAAAAGCTGCCTGCCACAACCAGCACCTCCTTCAACATCAGAGTGTCTACTCTGGAGAAGTCAATTATAAATGCAGTATATGTGGGAAAGTGCTTTCATGTATCTTTAACCTCAATAGACATAGGAGAGGCCACACTGGAGAAAAATCCTATGAGTGTACTGATTGTGGGAAACTTTTCATTCAAATGTCTTCCCTCACTAAACACCACAGAGTTCACACTGGAGAAAAGCCTTACAAATGCAGTGAATGTGGAAAATCCTTTAGGCGCAAAAATGACCTCTTTATCCATAAGAGAGTTCACACTGGAGAAAAGCCTTACCAATGCAGTGAATGTGGAAAATCATTTAGTCAGAGTTCTCACCTCTTATGCCACCAGAGAGTTCACACTGGGGAAAAGCCATATCAATGTAGTGCTTGTGGGATGTCCTTCAGTCAGTACTGTAACCTCAGTAGACACTGCAAAATTCACACTGGAGAAAAACCTTTCGAGTGCAGTGAATGTGGGAAGTCCTTCCATCGTAGGTCTTCCCTCACTAAACACAGCAAGGATCACACTGGACAAAAACCATACAAGTGTAGTGAATGCTGTAAATCTTTTAAGGAAACTACACACCTCCTTATGCACAAGAGAGTTCACACTGGAGAAAAGCTGCATCGATGTAGTGATTGTGGGAAGTGCTTCAGTCATAGCACTAGCTTCATTCAACACCTCAGAGTTCACACAGGTGAAAAACCTTATGAGTGTAGTGATTGTGGGAAGTGCTTCAGTCAAAGCTGTAGCCTCATTCAACACCTGAAGAGTTCACACTGGTGAAAAACCTTATGAGTGTAGTGATTGTGGGAAGTGTTTCAGACAAAGCTCTAACCTCATTCACCACCTCAGAGTTCACAGTGGTGAAAGACTGTAAGAGTGTAGTGATTATCAGAAATTAATTGGGGAAATTATTACTCTCACAGAGCACCAGAGACTTTACATTGGAGAAGAGCTTTAAATGTGCAGAGAATGTTTTACTTTCTCAGAAGAACAACACCAAAGGAGAAGCTTTTACCCCATTTACCAGAATGCAAACCCCTTCATCAGAATATACACTCTTCTAGATGCCTCCTAAGTTTCAGGTATAAATGACACTTTCAAAAACTGCATTGCACTTTCTAACCTACTCAGGCCTACAACCTGATTGATATCACACAAATATTTGTGTGGAAGCTCTTTCACCCCTACCACCTGGCTCCCTTGAAGAGTGTGCATCCATCACAACCCCTGCATGCTCTGGGTTGGGCTTGAGAAAATTGGTTGAGCTCCTGGGTGAATTTTTATTCCTTTATTTCTGACCAGAGAATTGACATGACCTAGGTTTCGTCCACAGCACCCATCCTCAGCTAAGTGCTACACCTTTTGAAGTTATTGTGGGTCTCGCATTAGGCTGTGATGAAGTGTTTCAGGTTCCAATTCAGGAGCCTGCAAACCTCTTGCTGTCCATTGCTCTGGTTTATGATCTTTATGTAAAGGAGTTTTTTTTCTTGTGTACCTTTAATATTGTTGGTCTATTAATTCCCTGAGATGTTTGACAGGAAAGTTGTGTTCTGTCAGCATGGACAGGTGAACAATATAGTCGGGTCCCAAACTTTCTGTGCTTTGGAAGGCACAGCTTCATGGCAGAAAACCACTGTTTGTTCAATATTGGCTGATTTTGAATTGCTGACCAAGGCTTTCAAATGTGTTGTCTGGTGCCTCTTTTTTGTAGAGGTCAATAGTCGCCCTGAACAGACAGCCTTTATTGTGCTCCTGTGGACAATATGAATTATATTCTCCGTTAGCAGTATGTATTACATAAGTGTCAGCAATGTTTAGGGGAACTACTCTCCACGAGCATCAGGATGTATGAGACTTCATAGGCTGATAGGCTGGTGTCATTTGTTGTAAGACTCTGAGGTGGAGTTAGTTTGGGACATAAACACTGTTTTCATAGTCATGGGAAACACTGCAGTTAAACTAGATGGAAAGTGACTCTTCTAGATATAAGTCCACAGTAGTCCAGGGCCTGTGTTTTGTATGATCTTTGAATATATCCTGAGGTCCTCCATCACTATTTCCTGTGCTTGTAGTCACTGGCAGACAAAATAATGTACTGGTTTTTGGACTCCCCTGGTCCCTGTAGGTTGTTCACCTCAAGGTTGTAGCTCAACAGGCAAGAACTCAAAGCTAGAGGAAGGATAATGCTGTAATCAGTCCCAGGTGTGTCCTTTGTTAACAGCATACCTGTTGATTCCAATGACAATTAGTCTTTTTTTTTAAAAATTGTTTTATTGATTTTTTTCAGAGAGGGAAAGAGAGTTAGAAGCATCTGTGAGAGAGAAACAGCGATCAGCTGACTCCTGTATACCTCTTACTGAGGATGTGCCCATAATCAAGGTATATGCCCTTGACAGGAATAGAACCTGGGACCTCTCAGTCTGCAGGCCAATGCTCTATCCACTGAGCCAAACCGGTTAGGGCAGCAATTAATCTTTACTATTTGTCAATATTTGCTGCCACTGAAGCAAGGTTGGTCCTTCCTGAGAACTGACATGCAACAAAGTGCTTCTTTCTCATGTGTGCTATTTGGTGAGCCCTGACCTAGAGATAAAGCTGTGAAACTGTCACATGTGGCATAAACCACCTGTAATTCCTACACAGGGTGGGGCACCAAAGGCTCACACTTGTAAGTTCTGAAAACACAGATTATTTTTTTTAAATATATTTTTAGAATACCTTTATTCTTTTTTGGAGGGAGCGAGACGAAGAGAGGGTAAGAGAGAGAAACATAGATCTGCTGCCTCCTGCATGCCCACTAGTGGGGTTCCATTTGGGGATGTGCACTGACCTGGAATCAAACCAGAGACCTTTCAGTGAATGGTTTGATACTCAAGCAGCTGAGACCACCAGCCGGGCAGAGTTTTATTCCTGTATTATTATCATTAATTTTTATTATATTATTTTTATTATATTATTTTGCATACCAGCAACTCTAAACCTTTTTGCCACATCCTTTATTTTCCTAATACCCTGTTATAATCTCTCTCTGCCTTCCAGGCAGTGATGGATTTTTCTTTTTTACAAAAAATAGTTCATAATTTTATAGGCAATCCTTGGTGTACTCAACAAATACTAGTTTCCTCCACGTACACAATTTGAGGTTCAACACAAATGCTTATGTTAAAGAAATAATAAGTTAGCCGAGACCGGTTTGGCTCAGTGGATAGAGCGTCGGCTTGGGGACTGAAGGGACCCGGGTTCGATTCCTGTCAAGGGCATGTACCTTGGTTGCGGGCATATCCCCAGTAGGGGGTGTGCAAGAGGCAGCTGATCGATGACTCTCTCTCATCGATGTTTCTAACTCTCTCTCTCACTTCCTCTCTGTACAAAATCAATAAAATATATTTAAAAAAATAATAATAAGTTACTTTCGAGTAGTACTGTGTTCAATGAATAATCACTTTATCTATTGATATGTCTTTTTTGTTATTTTTAGGTTTTGAATATTATAAATAAATCTGAGAATATATGCATTCAGTTCTCTCTATAGATATGTGTTTTACTTATCACACTCTTGCGTGACTGAAACGGGTTTGGCTCAGTGGATAGAGTGTCGGTCTTCGGACTGAAAGGTCCCAGGTTCAATTCCGGTCAAGGGCATGTACCTTGGTTGTGGGCACACCTCCAGTGGGGTGTGCAGGAGGCAGCTGGTCGATGTTTCTCTTTCATCAGTGTTTCTAACTCTCTATCCCTTTCCCCTCCTCTCTGTAAAAAATCAATAAAATATATATATTTTAAAAAAACCTGTTGTGTAGGTGAATGTTTTATATTTAAGATATGCAGAACTGTGAACCATAATGGTCATTCCCTTTTCCTTCCCCTTAACCAACAGTAAATAAAAATTTCCAACTTTCTGCTACCCTGCAAGGACATACAGTGGTTAACCTTTTGAAATGGTTATCCCGGAAATGCATATAATGTTAATTCACTTTCATTTTAATTCCATCTACCTAAGAATTTTTTTAAAATATAGATTTTTTTTACAGAGCAGAAGGGAAAGGGATAGAGAGAAACATCGATCAGTTGCCTCTGCACACCTACTACTGGGGATGTGCCCACAACCAAGGTATTTGCCCTTGACTGGAATCGAACCCAGAACCTTTCAGTCCTCAGGCGGACACTCCACTAAGCCAAACTGGTTTTGGCAGCTCATCCTTGATCTTCCGGTTGAGGTTGTTGGTATAAATAGTATGGTTGGGTTGGGTTGGTTTGGGTTAGATCTCGGGAACTAGGACAATGGAACTATAGGTCCACCTAGTGGCTGCTTCTCCAGCTGAGCTTTATTAAATTTTTAAGTAGAATGTAATGTGTATTTTTTGTTGTTGAAGGTGTTACAGATGTCTCCCATTTACCCCGTGTATAAGTTCTTTGGGGGATTTCTCCTATTTCCCCCCCCCCCACACCTTCCCCTGAAAGGTCTGTGAGTCTGTCCCAGGTCACCAGGCCTCGGGGCCCATCTCCTCCCTCCCCAGCCCCACTGACAGCGCGCCACCGCCTGGATGGACTGCGTGGAGAAAACTACATCACCCAGAAGGCAACGCGCACGCTTCAGTAGAGGTCTACGCGTCTTGGTTCTGCGCACGCGGTTAGGGCGGGACTTCCGGTATTCTGGCGGACTGTTGGACTTCCGTTAACGGTTCAGCGCGCCGGTTGGGCGTTGGTCGCGCTGAGGAGGCGGCGTGGAGGGCGGTGTCCCGCCGGGCAGGGTGTCTGAGGCGGGGGGCCCCCACCCGGCGGGACTGGGTCCCCGGGCCCCCGCCTCCTCCCGCGGACACAGCGCCCTCAGCGGCCCCGGCGGCCCTCCCGCCTCGGGGCGGCGCCGCTCAGGCCGCAGCCCAGGCCGCCGCCCGGAGCAGTGAGTGCCCGTGGGGGCCGCAGGGGCGGGCGGGGCCCGGGAGGCCGGGGCGGAGGGGGGCGGCCGGCCTGTGTGTCTAAAGGGACCGGGGCTTCCGGGAGGAGCCTGTCCTCCTCAGGGCCGGGCTGGCTGTGCGCACAGAGGGACGGAGCCCGAGGGGGCGGCGGCCCCGGCCCCGGGGCTGGGCCAGGCCCCGAGCAGCTGGGCCCCGGGTCCTGGCGGCGGAGCCGGGCCCTCAGCGCCTTCAGCTCCCACAGGCCCTGCGGTCAGAGCCGCTCGGGGGCCGGGCTGTGGGCTGAGGTCAGGGCCTCCCACTGCGGGGGCCTCAGGCTGTGGGGCCTGGGCTGTCCAGCCGCTCCTCCTGCCCCGGGACCTGCAGACCCTCAGCCCAGGGTCCTGAGGCCACGGCTGGGGCTGGAGGGAGTGGACCCTGGTTTGGGCACCGGGTGGGTGAGATGTGGGAGGGCCTCCCAGGCACAGGGACCGGGATGTGCAAAGGCTGGGAGTGAAGACTGAGTTGGCTCAGCAACTGGCAGGTATTCTTTAAAAACATATATATTTATTAATTTCAGACATAGAAAGGGAGAGAGAGAAAGAGACAGAGATGATCCATGAGTCCCGGCCTCACCTCCCTGCCCTGCTTCCCTCCCCAGATTGTCCTTAGGCACCTCAAGTTTGTGCCTCTCCCTCTGCTACAGCCTTGGGTGGGTGTTATAATTGTAAAGTCCTATGCTCTGGGCTTAGCAAATAAAAGCAAAACAACCACAACACTGGGTTTCTGTCTTGCCAGCAACAGTGCCGCTTAGGCTGCCTTCTTAGGGTGCAGCCTTTTGCAGCGGAGGCCTCCGGTCTAGATTCTCTGGTCAGCAGCAGTCTTGTTGCTTTCCTTTCCAGAGTTGGATGTTCCACCTGTCACCAAGGCTTTAGTGCAAGGCAGCTTCCTCACCCTCTGAGCCTGCTGGCTGGTGTGCCGCCCCAGCCCAGTCCCCGTTCCTTCCATTCTCCAGGTGTCCTCTGCCCTTCATTGTCAGTTGTCTCCTCAGCTGTGTCTAGTTTGCTAATTCCAGGGGGATGTTCTCCAATTTATTTGCTTTGCCAGTCTGGCCCTGGGATGAGGTGCATGTCATGTCTGCCTATTTGGCCGCCATTTTCTTCCACTTGATTGTGGTTCTTAATAGATGAGTTTGAAGGAAGAAACAGTCACGGAGAAAGGCCTTCAAAGCAGGACTCGGCTGCCTCTGTGGGTGTGGACTATCAGAGTCTGGGCAATAATTGGTCTCATTTGAATTTGGCACGCATTCTCTGGACCACACTTGCTGAGTAGTGAGAGGCAAATGACCTGACTTATGTGGCCTTGAGCTGGGAGTGTCGGTGTGGGAGAGGTGTGATAGAGTCCTGTGCCCCTGGCTAGGGAGTGAATTTATGGCTACATAGACAAGAGAGTACATGAAGGGGGAGTCCATTTCTGTATTCTCTGGATGATACAATAAGGACAATTTTAGGGTACCTGTCTGAAAAGGGGTGTTGTGGTGCTACATGCCAGTTCAGATCTCAGATACCATTTATCTACCCACCTGCCTGTTGTTTAGGGCTGTTAGAGTCATTGATAGGAACGAGGTAGCATACATCAGTGTCACTCAGGCTTGAAAATCTCCAGGTGTGGGTATGGGAGAAGGGTAAGACATACATACATTATGGAAGTGGTAAACTATAAATTTTTTTTTTTTTACATTTTATTGATTTTACACAGAGAGGAATTGAGAGGGACAGAGAGTTAGAAATGTC